GAGATCTTTCTTAGCTTCAGTTTTCCTCACCTTTAAAATGAGGTATTTATTTCACAGGGTGTTGTGAAAATTAAATAAGACTTATATGTAAAGCACGTAGCAGGATGTCTGGCACGTAGTAAGCTCTCAGGAAATGTGGCTAATTTATGATGTTGGTGGTGGTAGTTAACAGCTGTAGTGGTAGCAAATGATTGGATGTGAGATGTGAAAGAAAGAGAGGAATCAAGGATGATTTCTAGGTTTTTGGCGTGAATAACTGGAGGAGTAATGGTATCATTTACTGAGTTTGGGAACAATAGAGGGAGAGCTTCTTTTTCTGGACCAGAGATTTGAATAGGTAATACTAAAACTATCTTTTGACTCACTTAGAAATAGCATTCCATTTCCATTTTTTCTTCCAGATTACTTAAACTGTTTTTTGTTCTAAATAATTCCCTCCCAGAACATGAAAAATTACTGAAGGGGAAAGTGGTAGAGATTCTAGAAGCCAAATTAGTCTGGAATCAATGGCCATGTAACCTTGGATAAGTCATGGTTCTTAATTAAACGGTAGCAAGCACTGCAAAGATAAACACAGCAGTTGAACAACATCCAGACACTTCAGGTAGTTTTCATTTTTGTTTTAGGGAGAAATATTAACAAATATCAGAGAATTTATGAAATCAACATGAAATAAGGTAAGCACTGCAGCTTATGAGGAATGACAGTACTTCTATTAATATTAAATGAATATTTACTGATAACTAAAGTGCTCAGGCTTGATGAAATGAGATTCTTGTTTTCTTTTCCAGACTCCACTGGTCTAACTGCCCAAGCAAGGGTAGTATTTGATTCAAGTCTGGCTCCCAAGGTCTACACTTAGCTTTCACTTACTTAGTAGTTCACAGACTGATTAAACAATTGTATACAAAAAATTGGTCTCACAATTCGTTTCTTTTTTTAGAGACAGAGTCCCACTCTGTCACCCAGGCTGGAGTACAATGGTGCTAACATAGCTCACTGTAACCTCAAACTCTTGGCTCAAGGGATCCTCCTGCCTCAGCTTCCTAAGTAGCTAGGACTACAGGTGCATACCACCACAACCAGCTAGTTAAAAAATATTTTTTTTGTAGAGATGTGGTCTTGCTATGTTTCCTAGGCTGATCTCAAGTGATCCTCCTGTCTCAGCCTTCAAAGTGCTGTATGAGCCGTCACACCTAGCTGTTTCACAATTGTTTGTATCATAACAAACATTCATTTGAACCTAGGCATATTTGGTACTTTCCAGGAGGCCCCACATCCATTATGAGATGTTCCAAACAATGTATTACTTGAATCCAAATGGAGGCAGCACAGGGCAATTAAAAGCAGAATGGGTTAGTTCGTTAGTAACCAAACTGGGACCCAAACCCCTGGGTACAGTTTGTACTTACAGTGAGCTCTCCAGGCTTTGGCTTTTTCAACCTAAAAATAAAGGATTTCTACCCATATGTGATCATGAAGTTCCAATCCAGTTCTATGAAATTTGATTCTAGTAAGTTGCTGTAAGAAAACTTTTGAGTTTTGTTTCCTTCTAATTTTGATAAAGATGGATTGAAAATAAGCCATCCACAAACAACTTTACAGACAAATTTATAACAGTATCTTATTGGGTCATCATAGAGTGGTTCCTTCTATTACTGTGTCATATAAAACTAACTAGCCATGAGGAATCAAACCTGTGAACTTAACATGGTAACAAAGCTAATTGAAGTGTAACTAGTTCATGAAATAACCATAAGGAAGTACAATATTTATATTGTCCACCAACTTCCTCCCACAACAGAAATAGAGAAATGAGGGTTTTCTTTTTTTTTTGGAGGAGGAGGTACTTGCAACATTTACCATAACTATTGAAATTCTTCAATACTGTTAATTTCTCTTTTTCCACTGTAGTTGGTGTCATGCAAAAATCTATTTACACTGACTGAGGATATTAGAAGAGTGAAGATCAGAGAATCTTAAAGTCTGAAATTTGGTATCACTACCCTGAAAATAACCTTAGTTGGCATAAACTCCTCGTACAGGTAAGGGTTATCATTTATTCATTTTAAAAAGGACTAAATTGTTTAAATTTTGAAAAATGACCATTAAGAAAGGCAGTCAGCATATTGTGTAGGTAATTATTATTAACTGAAGTTAGACTTGTGGAGCTTTTTTCATTTGCCAAATTAGCAGAGACAGAATGTATATATGCATGAGTGACTCAAGACAGGAATTCTGCTGGGGGAATGCAGACCTGGAGACATTTTCTGGAAATTAATTTTGCATTTGTGACATGTAACTTTCATTTGATTTGCTAAGTTTAACAGTATTTTCCAAATTTAAGAAAATAATTATCTAGTGGTTTTTTAATCAAAAGTTATTTTTGAAGGGGAATTACACAGTACATACAAGTTTCGGAAGATAAAGATGGTAAGCGAGTTATTGTTTGCTATACTGAGGTAGCTATAGATTATCAACAGCTGTCTGATAAAGCTAGCCTCTGCAAAAGTGTTTTTACCTCCCTTTTGTTCAGAAACATTTGCTATCCATATTCATACAGAAGCACCACTACCTTTGCAGTTTTTAGTACATTATGCATTATCTATACAGGGGAAGGGCTAATGTTTTTCTTTAATATCGGCATAAAAGGGATCTCTGATTCCTTATGTAAAACCAAAATCTACTTAGAACAAATAATTTTTTCTTAAATAAACTGGCTCATTTCATTCTCTATTTGACTGAATTGACTGATTTTTAAATCAGTGAAGTTAGATATTGGGTTTTATACATTTATACTACAGTCTCTACTAAATGCAACCAGATTCCAATTCACCAGGTTGTACTAGGTTCAGATACAAACTCACTGAAACATAAGACTTCCAAAGAAAGAAAATAAAATGTCAAAGACATTGGTGGGTATTAATTAAGGATCTCACTATTTGAACCTAGGGACCCCTGCATAGCCCTCAAGTTTTCCAGTCTTTGGGTGTGGATTATTTGGTTTAAAAAATTATTTCAAAATTAGAATATTGTACTTGAACCCCCCATTTCTGTAATCTAAGATTCAGAAAATAAAACTGACTCTAAAAAGGGGTAGAGAATAAAATAGCCTTGAGGGGCTGGGGACATGCAAGAATATCAGGAGGTAAGATTTTTGTCTTTATTAAAAAAGAATGATTAAGAAAAAAAAAAGATTGAGAAACCCTGTTCTAGATTATGTAAGAGTGGAGAATGTGGTATGTAGGAAGCTATGGTAAAGAACACAGATATCTGGCATATTCTGTGTAGAGCTCATGAGTCTTGATCAGAATCCTATAACTTTTGTTATCCTCACCTGAAATAAGGAAATGAGAAAAATAAAAATGAATTTATATGTGACTCTTAAGCACTTCATATTTAGCCTTTGAAGCAAGAAAGATTTAAAAATAAGACATAATAAAGCAAAACCACACCTGCATTTATGCTGTGATTAAAACATAGCCTTAACAACAAAAAAAATTCTCTGAAAAACCCAAATATCAAATTACACCTAAGGACACATGAGGGCGCTCTAACCAAAAAGCACATTCAATTTTAGTAAACCTTTTCTGAAGTATGACAGTTTAACATTAAAAATTTAAAAGGAAGTATTTCTTTTTTCTACGATTGGCTTCATTCTTTTTTTATTGAAACAAATGACAAATTTTATTACATGAGTTAATTTTTATGTCCAAGCACAAGGATAATGAAATATATTTTCCATGCAAAATATTATATACATTAAATAACATACAGTGGTAACAACGCAGTGTAGGTTTCCTGGGAAGCAGACTCTGTGATAGAAATGTGCATGCAGGAAGTGTATTGGGCAGTGCTGTCTAGATGAGGACCAGTGAGAGTGGAAGAATGAAGCAGGATAAACAGAGCAAGAAGTTGAACTCTGGGTGGCGCCTGTGGCTTAGTGGGTAGGGCACCAGCCCCATATACCAAGGGTGGGTTTGAACCCAGCCCTGGCCAAACTGCAACAAAAAATAGCTGGGCGTTGTGGTGGGTACCTGTAGTCCCAGCTATCTGGTAGGCTGAGGCAAGAGAATCGCCTAAGCCCAGGAGTTGGAGGTTGTTGTGAGCTGTGACACCACAGCATTCTACGGAGGGTGACACAGTAAGACTGTCTCTAAAAAAAAAAAAAGACGACACTGAAGTCTCAACAAATGTCTCAGTTGATCCCTTGAGGAACCTCTGAAGTTGGGAAAGCCCCTCAGAGATGTCTTGAATTGAGGCAATGGCCAATCTTTGGATATCTGCCGTAAATGGAGATATTTCTAATGTCCTTTGGTAATGACTCTGAAATTTTGGAGTATATCCTTGGTTGCTACACTTTCCTTCTGTTCAAATCTGAGCTTTTGCTCATGTGTAATTGAGTTTACTTCTGAAATATGAAGAGACTCTTCTAACAGTATATGACTGTAGAGAAGTATTTTAACCTAGTGACAAAAGGACACCATTTTGAAAACTATGTATATACAATTAATGTGCTAACTGAAAACTAGTCATGTCTCATTAATGTAGCCACAAAATACTTCTGTAACACTTTCTTTTGGCTATCATGTATTGAATACGTGTACCTTAAAATTTTTTAAATTACATTTGTAGGCAAAATCCATCATTACTTATACATTGTCTTATAATCTAAAATCTATACATCCCTCTAATATAAAATAATAAATTACAGGCATTTACTATTTGTATCTAATTTTGTTTTTTAGATAAAGGGATTATCCACCACAATAAGTAATTTTTTGCTTTTAGTTCAACTGGACAATTTTAATTAGAAAAGGTAAGAAGCCTTCTAAACTTTCCCTTTCCATTCAATGTTTTTATTACTCTTTTATCTCATCCAATGTTTTGGGTTTTTTTCTACTATTTAGCTTAAATACTGTACTAACTATAATGTTAATATTAAAAATCTGCAATTCTGTTCTAGATCCTGTGGCCAAGTCCAAGAAAATCAGATATAAATGCATAACAACTCAATATGTATTCAACCATCCATGATCTCTTCCCGGGCTTTACCAATCATTTACATCTTCCTTTGTATTGTTGGTCTCCTTGGAAACTCTCTCTCTCAATGGATATTTTTAGCAAAAATAGGCAAGAAAACATCAACACACATCTACCTGGCACACCTCGTGACTGCAAACTTGCTTGTGTGCAGCGCCATGCCTTTCACGGGTCTCTACTTTCTGAAAGGTTTCCAATGGGAATATAAATCTGTACAATGTAGAGTGGTCAGTTTTCTGGGAACTCTATCCATGCATGTGAGTATGTTTGTCAGCCTCTTAATTTTAAGTTGGATTGCCATAAGCCGCTATGCTACCTTAATGAAAAAAGACTCCATGCAAGAGATCACTTCGTGCTATGAAAAACTATTTTATGGCCATTTGCTGAAAAAATTTCGCCAGCCCAACTTTGCTAGAAAACTATGCATTTACATATGGTGTCTTGTACTGGTCATAATTATTCCAATTATCATATACTACTCAGTTGTTGAGGCTACAGAAGGAGAGGAGAGTCTGTGCTATAATCGGCAGATGGAACAAGGAGCCAAGACTTCTCAGATTGCAGGTCTCATTGGAACCACATTTATTGGATTTTCATTTTTAGTAGTACTAACATCATACTACTCTTTTGTTAGCCATTTGAGAAAAATAAGGACTTGTATGTCTATTATGGAGAAAGATTTGACTTACAGTTCTGTGAAAAGACATCTTTTGGTCATCCAGATTTTACTAATAGTTTGTTTCCTTCCATATGGTATTTTTAAACCCATTTTTTATGTTCTACACCAAAGAGAGGACTGTCAGCAATTGAATTATTTAATAGAAACCAAAAATGTCCTCACATGTCTTGCTTCAGCAAGAAGTAGCACAGACCCCATTATATTTCTTTTATTAGATAAAACGTTTAAGAAGACACTATATAATCTCTTTACAAAGTCTAATTCACCACATATGTAACCATATGGTTGACTTTTGAATGGAAAACATCACAAAACAGAAAAGTGTTCAGATGACTATTGGGAGACTAAACTACATTATTAACATGTCAGCTTGGTTGACAATAGGCACCAAGAAAACATTTTTGTTTTTAAAAAATAAATATTCATAGAACTTAATTTACAGTTCTACTTATACTGCAAGTTGACATAGTAGAGACTTTCAGAGGCAAAAATTAAGCATATTGAAAGGATCCTACTACATATGAAACCAAAAGACTCAGTTTTTGTTTCAACTCAACTGTGGATACTTCCTTTCAGAACACAATATTTCATGGCTACAGGATAAATAAGCAAATGGTTTATGACTTCTCTGCTTTCAAGTAGTTAGAATCCAAGGCTCTATCTATAGCTAATGTTTATTTTGAGGTTAATTTTTGAAAACTTCAAAAATGAGTAAAAGAAAAAAATGAATATGCAAGATGAGTAAAACAAAAGATAAGCCATATTCTCACTTAAGTCTTATCTAAATGTAAAAATCTAAAGTTTTATAATCATTTATTTGGATTGGGAAAGGCAATAGTCCTTGACTCTAATATTTATTAAGGAGATATTATTTATAAATATGCTTAAATATTTGGATTATACTTTGTCAAAATATAATAAAAAGCTAATATAATGTCATCATATGTCCATCTTAATCACATAGGAAAGTCTTTGTGTGTTTTCCTATGAATTCAAAATAAATAATGCTGTTATTAATGAAAAATAGTACCTGGTATGTGGATATATTCAACGAGTTTTGTGAAATGACTGACTTCTAAGGCAGTATGATAGTATTATAGTTAAAGGATTGGTGTCTGATATTAGACTCCTTGGATTCAATGCTGGCTCTACTTCTTCAGCTGAATAATCTTAGGAAAGTTACCTTCTTTAAGTATTAATTTCTTCATCTGTAGAACAGAAAATACTACCATATTAATAGATATTAAGTCAAATGATGTTACCATTGTGAGTAGCTATTATTTAGTAAGTACTTGCTATGTGCCACACACTTTGCTTATATGCTTTACATGTATTTTAATCATCACAACCCTAAAGTATGCGAATTTACTGATGAAAAAACTGAATTGCGTAAGTAACCCAAATTTTCTCCAATATCTTGTAAATATTTAAAGAGTAAGTAATGATCATTTCTTTCTTCCATGTTATTTTATCAGTAAGATAAATTATGGTGACTATATTTCTATATTTATATACATCATAATAAAAAAATTTGTCTTCTATCTTCCCAAAGAGATCCTAAGCACCTTTGGGGTTTTTCTATTTCTACTCCTATGGTACCTGCATTCTCTTCACAGATAAGAACCAAATAAAAACATATCTCTAAAAATAGAGATATGTCTCAATATGTTGCTCAGGTTGGTCTTGAACTCCCGGCCTTGAACAACCATTAACTGTAACTTGTCACTTCATTAGAGACTGCTTAAAGACTCATTTTTTTTCCACATGGTAATTCCTTCAGTGTTCAAAAAGTTTAAAGTAAGTTCACATAGTGCTTCTAAGCCTTTAATCTCATAGCAAGTTTTGTTCCTGAATTAGAACTATGGGAACAATTCACTGTACAGATACCCCAAGGGCCATATGTTCAAAATCCCTAGAGGTTATTCTGACACAATTGTATGACTTTCATTAAAAACAAACAGAAGAAAAAGTCAGTATTTGTCATCTTCTTTTTTTACTTCAATGCTTAACTGAGGTGAAAGATGTTCAGAGAGTCTGAGCACATTCTGGCTTCAAATATTTACAGTGTCCATAAATTCTTTTATACTAGCAATTAGATGTCTGGCTTAATTTGCAGAGACAAAGGAGATTTGGGAACTTCAGGTGACTTCCCTAAGTGCTACCTGTAAATGGAGGTATCCAATCTAGTGACTTCCTAGACATGTGAATCAAAGAATAACTGGAAAGTCCATCAGGAGAGTTTCTGACATACTCAGATTTCTCCACAGATACACACTAGTAGTTTTAGTCCTACGTGAACTTTAAAATCTAAACTCATTAGACTAAGTAAGAGGAACTGAGATTATCTGTAATTTTCATTAAAAAAAAATTTTTTTTAACCTGTCACGGAATTGACTTTAAAAATAGAGATATGTCTCAATATGTTGCCCAGGTTGGTCTTGAACTCCTGGCCTCAAGTTGGCCTCCCAAAGTGCTAGGATTACAGGTATGAGCCACAATGTCTGGCCCAGTAATTTTCTTTTTTCCCTTAAATTTTTTTTTTGGTTAAATTTTAACATAAGCTATACTGTATTTAATCTCACTGTATTTAGGAGTTTAAATCATTCTTTTAAAAACTTTATAGCTATGCTCTCTAAATAAAAGATAAAGGCAGTAAGACTTCCATACATTTTTTAAAAGGCAGGAAAAGTGGTATATAATTTCTCTTTATATTATTCACTGATAGAAAATTTCCAGTTTAACTCCTTGCACTGAACTATATACTGAGCTCATTATCATCATCTTTACCTTTACATCATAGAGGCTTTCCTAACAGAGATTGTGAATCATGTTGAATTTTTTGTGTAATTGAAGAACTGGCCATTTAATGTTACTTTTATATTTCTTTTTAAACTTATGCTAATTTTAAAGTTTACATTTCAGAAAAAAATGATGTTTTTAATGTATCTGTGTGAGTTATAGTCAAAAACAAATTTGGGGAGTTGAAACACATTCTTCTTAATAAAGTATCATAAGAATAGAGAAGCAAGAATCCAATGTACTTAATTCTGATATGAAGCCAGTAGACCAGGGGTCCTCAAACTTTAAACAGGGGGCCAGTTCACCATCCCTCAGACCGTTGGAGGGCCAGACTGTGGCCCCGGGATGAGTCAGCTGCTAAGCAGGACAAGCAGCAGCGGCAAAAACACCCAGCCGGCCAGATAAATGTCCTAGGTGGGCTGCATATGGCCCGCGGGCTATAGTTTGAGGATGCCTGCAGTAGATGATCTAATAAATACCCACATAAGAGAAAAACACAAATCAATTCAAGGTGGGGGGCAGGAGGATGCGGAGAAAGTGAGGAGGGAGGGGGATGAGTGTGCTCCCACTTAAAGGACACAATGTTAAGGTATAAAAGGGATTCTAACAAATACAAACATTATAACCTAATTCTTTGTACTGTCAAATTAACCTGAAACAATAATAAAAGTAAAAAAAAAAAATTCAGTGTTTTAGAAATCTCAGATTTTAACTTAGGCCAACAATTTTTTTTTTTTGAGGCAGAGTTTTACTCTGTTGCCTCAGGTTACAGTGCTCTGACCTCAGCCTACACAGCTCACAGCAACCTCCGATTTCTGGATTCAAATGATCCTCCTATCTCAGCCTCCCATGTAGCTGGAGCTATAGGTGTGCCTATCACAATGCCTGGCACATTTTTCTATTTTTGGTAAGAGACAGGGTCTTGCTCTTGCTCAGACTGGTCTCAAACTCTTAGCCTTAACTGATCCTCCTGCCTTGGCCTCCCAAAGTGCTAAGATGACAGGCGTGAGCCTCCTCACCTGTCCTGGCCAACAAGATTTTAACTGAAAGAAACAGGAATGATAAATGTTTATTTCTCCTTTTATCTTTCTATATACATACTCCTATTAAAGTAGCTTTCTAACTATAATTAGGAACACAAATCATTAAGACTGAACAAAAAAATTTAGGACAAACAACTGGGAAGTGAGTTTCTACACCTTGGATAGAAGAGGAAGATAGCTTGTTCTTTTGTAATTTGGTAAGAACTTGACTCAGCTCTGGCCTTGCAGTCTTCCAGGGTAGAAGTTATGGGTAAATGTGGGAAGACAAGCTAAAAGGAAATCTTGCTGGCAAACCTTTATAAAGGGAGCACAGAGGGGACACGGCAATTTGCTAAACTTTTCAATTGAGCATCCCTAATGCCATGGACCTTCCTGAACAGCCAGAAAGGTTTTAAACCTGACATAGAAACCTCTTTGGCTGTATTACACATACATGGCACCCCTTGCTTAGAAGGAGAGGAGCTCTTAAAGGATTTACTTCTACTAAGCAAAAAAAACATTATTTTAAAAATCATAGAGTTGATTTCTTTTTCTGGAAGATGGGTTGGCAAAAAAGCAGCATAACAGAAATGCAAGATTAATTTATAATGATCACATAAACCATGATATTTTCCTAAGTACAATTATTAAAATCCCAGCTCCAAACTGAATGTGCTCATTATGTTCAACAACCTTACACAAATAATGCAGAAGATTAACCAGTGGGCTGCTTATAATAAAGAATAAGTTTCTGTTTTAATGAGAATTTAAGTTTCTCTATACAACATACAGACTTTTGGGAATTGTGGTAACAGATGTCAGCAACTGAGAACAAGAGAGGAAGGAATACTTTAAGAGATTCACAATTCTACAGCAACCAGTGTTATATGATGAACATGAACTTATACTATAGGCTGGCCCTAAGGAGTTGAAAAGAGAACTGAGACTACAAGGGGACCAAAGAGCAGCCAGGCGTGTTCACACCGGTTAGCAAGGAAAGGCATTTAATAGAAGCATAAGCAGAAATACCAGGGTGGGAGGCCTCTGACTAAGTGTGTGTGCTACTAGGGTTTGTCAAGTTCTGAGAACTAAAGACAAAGTGTGCAAGCCTCCTACATACAGGCTCCATTCAGAATAGAAAGTGATTGTGTAGCGGTTTGTATTCTCAGAGAAGCTGTTTCACTTCAACTTCAGTTATTAAAATTGTATGATGAGGGGATGCCTGTGGCTCAAAGGAGTAGGGTGCTGGCCCCATATACCGGAGGTGGTGGGTTTAAACCCGGCCCTGGCCAAAAAATAAAATAAAATAAAATAAAATTAGATGTTGAGTAGGTCAAGGTGATGGAAAGGAGACTCTAAGGAATGCTGAGTCTCTCCACACTCACGTGCTTCACTGTAAGGCTGCCCTCAGGGATTGGGAGAGATGAGAAAATTGAACAAACTTTCAGTGCTTAGCAGAGCCAATGAAGAAAGGCGAGGAGCCAGGAGTTGCATTTACCTTGACAACTGTACTACATTTAAAGCACTTTTAATTCATAGGTGAGAGGAAGAAAAGAGAAAAATCACTGAAACATAATGGGAGTTTTTCACATTCTTCCACAAGAAAAAGAATTAAAGGGACATGACAAAAAAAAAAATATATATATATATATATATATGCGCCTTAATTAATGCCTTTGAGAAGGCAAAATAGGAGAGCTATAATATTCTAACAATGAGTCTTAACCAGGGTTGACTTTTGTGCCCCCAGGGACATTGGGCAATGTCTAGAGACATGTTTGGTTGTTGCAACTGTGAGAGAATAGCTCTTGGTATCTAGTGGATAGAGGCTAGAATGCTGTTAAGCATCCTATAATCTCCAGGAAAGCCTCCTACTACAAAGTGTTTGGCCCAAAATGTTACTAAGTGTGGCTACTGGGAAACCCTATACTATGTTTGCAAATCTCCCTGAATTTCAAAGAATTATACAATTTTACATAAAACTGCTCCTTCAAAGCAAGCAGCTTCCACTATATGCTCAAATCTAACCAAACAATCCTTTTTAGACTTAATTATGATGATTTCAAAAAGAAATGCCTAACAGGCTTGGCACCTGTGGCTCAAGTGGCTAAGGCGCCAGCCACATACACCTAAGGTAGCGGGTTCGAATCCAGCCCGGGCCCGCCAAACAATGATGGCTGCAACCAAAAAAATGGCCAGGCATTGTAGTTGGTGGCTGTGGTCCCAGCTACTTGGGAGGCTGAGACAGGAGACTCGCTTGAGCCCAGGAGTTGGAGGTTGCTGTGAGTTGTAATGCCACGGCACTCTACCCAGGACGAGAGCTTGAGGCTCTGTCTAAAAAAAAAAAAAAAGAAATGCCTAACAAGCAAAGAAACCTAATGCTTGTGGATCATATGCCAAAAGGTGTGTGTGAGAGAGAGAGAGAAAGAGAGAGAATGACAATATAAGAATATTCCTGGCTAGATTAAACAGATGATTAAATCTAAATTTTTGTAAGAGAAATGAAATATCACAATGCTCTCCTATTCTTATACTAAGTATAAAGGAAGAAAACTTAGACACAAACTTTAACTGCAGAAAAAAATCTACATATATACCAAATCTACATACAGATAAACCCCTGAATGTATACCTGAATGTAAAAAAAAAAGCTGATTGGCAAAAATATTAACCAAAGCAAGTGAAATTTTAAATTATTAATTGTGTGAAATGTGTCGTTATTTAAATTTTACAATGACCATTATGTTGGAATACTCCTACAACAAGGTTGTGAACAAAACTTAAGTTTTACCTATTATTGAAGTTATATTAGGAAATCCTATTGACACAATCTTCAAAATATATTTGGAACCTAACTACTTTTTTATCACCTCCACTGCTACCACTCTAGTCTGAGCCAGGCAGGATCATGTCCTGTCCTCTCTTTAGTTTCTTCTTTGCTCATTTTGTCTCACCCACACCAGTCTCCTTGCTATTCCTGAAACATGCCACTTGTGTTCCTGTCCCTTTTCCTTTGCACTGGGTGTTCCTGTTACCCAGAACACTCTTCTCTCAGCAATCAAGTTAGCCCACTCCCTCTCTTCCTTGAAGTCCTTGCACATATGCCATCTTCAAAATGTGTCCTGCTCTGATCACTCTATTTACAATCGCAAGTCTTCCTCCAGTACTCCCTATCCTTCTGTCCACTCTAGATTTTCCTGTGGTCCTTTGTTTTTTTGAGACAGAGTCTCACTTTGTTGCCCAGGCTACAGTGCAGTAGCACCAGCCTAGCTAACAGCAAACTCAAACTCTTGGGCTCGAGTGATCCTCCTGCCTCAGCCTCCCAAGAAGCTAGGACTACAGGTGCATGCTACAAAGCCCCGTTAATTTTTCTATTTTCAGTAGAGACAGGGGTTTTGCTTTGCTCAGGCTAGTCTTGTATTCCTGACCTCAAGTGATCCTCCTGTCTTGGCCTCCCAGAGTGCTAGGATTACAGTCATGAGCCACTGCTCCTGGCCTTTCTGTGGTCCTTTTCACCTTATAACCTACTACACTTATTTCACTTATTTCTGCTTACTGATTATCGTCTATCTCCCTGAACTAGAATATTAGCTCCATGAGGGCAGTGATTTTGTCTGTTTTGTTCATTGATGTAGCTCCAGTTCCTAGGATAGTACAGTGCCTGCCAAATAGCAGGCACTTAATAAATATGTTTTAGATAAACATCTTAAGGAAAATACATCAACATTCAAAATTGCAATAAACCAAATGTGACTATTATATTTGCCTACACAAAAATGTGTAGTTTTGGGGTTCTGAAATATAAAGAGTATCGACATTAAAGTGTGCTCTGTGTTGAGTTTGTCTGCCAACTGAACAATGGTGCTTTTTCTGGTGGTTCCTTCTTACTAATTTGAAGTTTGAGAATTGCTTTTCTCTTCTCTTCCCTTGCTCAGCATGTTTCTGGGTGCTTTCTAAAATTGTTTGGCATGTACTTTAGAAATAATAAACTAACCTAATATAATCCAATGCAAAACTACTTTTGGGCCTTTGCACACACCATTCTTTCTGTGTGAAATGTCCTTGTCTCCACATAACTACCCCATGACTCAAGGCCAGGGGCCAGTGTGACCTCCTAGAAATTTCTCTGACCCTGTCTTTGAATGATACCACTTTCTACCCTGCACAATAATTATTTGCTTGTCTGTCTATAAACGCTGGCCACTAATAAGTTTTCCCATCCTTGTGTATATCTGGCCCTCCTACAATCAAAAGATGAATCTATTTTTCCTTCTAATTGAGCTCAGACTAGCCTTGTGACCTTATTTTTGACTAATACGTTTCAACTAATAAAATGCATAGGATGTGACATAGTGCCAGTCCTGGGCCTATGCTTGAAGAGGCCTGGTAACTTCCATTTTTTCTATTTTGGAGCTCAAAGGCACTGTCCTGCTAGAGATGAGGCCGCATGGAGAAAGAGCAAAGCCCTTAGCAACCACAAACACCACCCACCAACTCACAGCTATTCTAGTCACCTCAGCTGAGATGCCAGAAAAATGAGTGAAGCCTTTGAGGAAAACAGACTTGCCACATTGATCAAAAGCCTATAAAACAGGATCAAGCAGTCACTATCAAGCTGCCTCAACTACAGAACTACAAGCTAGTAAGTGGTAGTTGTTGTTTGCAGTCACTTAAGTTTTGGAATATGTTGATCTGCAGGAGTAGATAATAGATACATTGCCTTATCCCATACTAAGACCATTACTAATCTACATGAAGGAGGCACTCAAATATTTGTTCAATAAAATAGACCAGAAGGTAAATAGAAAGTGAAGTCAAATATAACTACTTTTGGATTTTATTTGGTTTTGAATTGTCAAATACCATGGCTAATCAGAAGCTGACTATATTATTGAGAGTACTAGAGTATGTTGTCGATCATTATTTATATATATACTGATGTAATTATCTTCTAAAAACAAATTTAATTCAAAATAAAACTGTCTTTTGAGCAGAACAGTTTTTAACACAATGAACTAACAATGTTTTATACATTTTAAGTTTTTGAATTATTTCTTGTATATATTTCATAATATACAAGGACGTGTATTTAACTCCATATACATGTTCTTTCTTACATTAATGCAAAAGAATCACACAGCATGCTATTCCATAGTACAGTTGACAGTTTTCCCCCTTTTACTTTTCCACTCTTCCTATTCTCTTTGAATAACTCAAGAATACTTTTTAATAAAAGTGTGATGCATCCATTGGGTGGTTCAGTGTTAGTTTTGATAATAACAGTATCATTTTCCTATCACATTTAAAAAGAATAAGATATTTTATAACTAATTTATACTAATGTGCATTTTGTACATCTCTCCAATGATTTTCATTTGCTATTATAGCATTGTATTAGACAATTTTGGAATTGCTTCTGCTGCTTTTCCTCAGCTTTTAACTATAAGGATTTTCATTAAAATTTCTCAAATATTATAGAAACTTTAGCTAAACTCTTCTTAATTTTCTTAGCTATTTAAAATACATTGATGAAACCAGGCCTTTTAATAATATGTCTTGAAGGAAGGGGTACCATGTCTGTGCATACTGTGGGTTAGAGAGAGAACAGTGATAAAACATCTGAGCTTGAAAGTACAGCCCAAGGCCAGAGGGCCTTCAGGAGGAAGGCCCACTCATCTTTGTTCTTGCCTGCCTCTCTGTTCCACTTAACATAAAGAGCCAGAGACTGAGCATTCTCATTAACTTGATATAGGAATTAAATAGTCAGAAACACTGGATAACGATAATGTTGGTATTTGAAGGGTATAAACTGTATTACAACTATAATTATGATTTTATATTATATTTAAAAACTATCTGCAAAGAAAATACAATGCTGACTATTCTACCTTGAGACATTATGAAAATGTAAGTATATGATTAACTTTTACTATATGAACCAAATTCTAATTTTCCCCCCAATTAACTCAGTATAGGATATTGTTTGGTTCTTCCTATTTGTTGGATTTTTCATTTCTCTCTCACATTCACAATGGCAAAAGAAGAAGAAGAATATTTTAGATTGCATGTATGCTTTAGTAAAAATAAACTGAAATTATAAAGTGTTCCTAGTAAGAATTAGTACAATTGCTTCCTAAATATAAAGAGGTTAAATAATTTTTATTTGTAAGTAAAATTAAGATGTCTTTTATAAGAATATTAAAGAACATTTTTTGATTATTGTCATTGTTAAAACAATTTTCTTCACAAAGTTAGTGATATTAATGACTTACCTTCACATCCCTGTGAATTATGTTATTATCGTGACAGTAGCGAAGAGCTTCCAGTATCTGTCTCATGTAATGGCTGTAAGGAAACAAAAGAAACCTAAAACTGTAAAAAATGTTTATTTTTAAAACTTAATATACAGTGCCCCTAGTATATAACTCCCACCTTCACATTAGCTGCCATGGACCCTTTTCATTTGAGCAGACAAGACTGGTGGAAAGTGAGGCTTAATGAAACAGTTGGTAGATTGCTAAGTTTATGGGCTTCATGAAGAAATAATATGTTCTATATTTTCTAAGGTATCTAACTCAAAAGAATTTTACATAGTTCATAAGTAAAATTGAACTTAAAATATGAAAAAAGCCAAAAATTTTCCAATGCTCGGGTAATTCTACTTAGAGTGTTATTAAGTAAACAGTGCTCAAAGCTACCCCAAGGATTTGGACTAAAGGGGTGAGGGCCTTTTATCTGCCAGCAGAGTATAATCTCTGTCTTATTTCCATTTAGCTCTGAAGACAACTGAGAGAGGAACCTCCTTTTGTGTACAATTTCTTTTTGTAACATAGTCAAGTTTTAGTTGGGGCATCCATGAACAAAGCAGGATGGTTCCAGGCCCAAGTCTTAGGTAGTCTGATTCTTCAGGTAGCCAGCAGGGATCAGCTGAGACTCTACCAAGGAGTAAAGGTGAAGAACAAAGGAGAAGTTAGCATTTTAAAGAACAGTCTTTTTTTTTTTTTTGGCCGGGGCTGGGTATGAACCCACCACCTCTGGCATATGGGGCCAGCGCCCTAATCCTTTGAGCCACAGGCGCCACCCAAAGAACAGTCTTTAAAAAGTATTAATACGGCTAAATAAACATTACTACTTTTAGAACTTCCTTCCCCTATTTTTAAAGTTCTATGGCTCAGTGCCTGTGGCTCAAGTGGCTAAGGCGCCAGCCACGTACACCTAAGGTGGCGGGTTCGAATCC